GGTTGCGTTTCCATTACGCTTTAGTATCTGGTTCCGTATCCTTGAAACCTACCCACAACAAACCAGTATTTGTGGAAATTCCTTGGTAACCATGGCTTCCAGCAGCACCCAATCTCTGTCAGTTAGAACACTTTAGTACCAGCTCGCCCTGAATAGAACCAGGACCAATAGAGACTAAAAAGGTGCTGGTAGGATGTGTGTTTTATCATTACATTTCCTGTGTTTGAACTTTTTGATTCTCTGATCGGTAGTTGGTGAATCGACAACTTTGTAAAATCCTCCGAGAAGACTGCTGTTGTGATTTAGGGTGATGCAAAAATAAATATAATAGAATGAATAGAATTAGAGCAGAGCAGAGAAGTAGAATCTTCTTGTCCCTTTTGAGGATAGAGCCCTGTGGGGGAGACTATGGGGTGAGGCAGGGGGTGAGGAAACTCGATCCCCCGGGGGAGCTGTAACCCAGCCCCAGTCCAGGCTTGTCCGCGCTCTCACTCACATCCATCAAACACACACACGGCTAATTGTGCTTCACACCTTTGGGCAGAACTTCAGTTTCTCCCTGGAGCTGCGGAGATGAGTATCTCTGATGCCACACTGCTCAAAATATATGAACAAATATTAAAATTTCAGAGTGTGGAGTCAATGTTTGGGACGATAGAACTGGGAGAATGGAAAGCATGTTCAAATTGGATTATATTTTTTTTTTAAAGAAGCTGTTTAAGGAAAAAAAGAGAGAAACCTCAAAGGCCCACAATGAGAGATGGTTCCACTCCCACAAACGGATCCAGGACTGAGGCTGTAGATCCAGGATTGAGGCTGTGATTGTTTAAGCCCAAAATGGTGAGTATGCCACAAATGGTTATCGAGCTAGAGGAGTTTACTTTTCAATGGAAGTCAATTGAAGCCAGAGCGAGTTGGATCTATACCTCGTCCAGTTTTATATTGGACTTCAGTGATCTAGGGTGTTAGCATTGTCCATCTGTATACAGTCTACAATCAAGCTAAGAACAATAACGTCCCTGTTGCGTCTGACAGCTTTTCACATCTCAACTCATGTAGTGTCATAACCCGCAGAGAAGGCAGCAGCAGCCGATAAATTATACAAAAAATTACACACAACACACATATTTACACAGACAGAGAAGTAGGCGAGACTTTTATGAGCAGAGAAGCAAGAAAAACACCATTAAAATCAAATTATTACTTAGAGATACTCGTGTCAACATTGCCACGCCTACTTATGTGATGTGTAATTAAGACAACTGCTGTTTTGACCAGATGGGAGTGGGGTTGCTAGATATTATGGGGTAAATATGCAAGCGTGTGTGTGTGTGTGTGGGTGTGCGTGTGTGTGTGCGTTGAACCATGGACAAGTCATAAATACTCCTTTTAGTGCCTGTTTTGCTTAAAGTTGTGAAATCTATGCAATATTTGGCAGCAGATTAAAGCTGGGGTTCATAACTTTCGGTATATGTAATCATATCCGTGTAACAATCCCGTTTGCTTCCATCACTAGTTTCCATGTATTTGTTGACCTCTATCACAGAGACAGAAAAGTGACAAAAAGAGGAACACCCTCACTCAGCCAATCAGCTCCCATCCCAAAGTGTCAAATAATGACTCACAGGCCTTTCATAAGAAAAAATATCGTCTGTTTTGTGTACAATTCTACGATTCAATTATACGAGACTGGAGGCAAACCGCATATATTGTTTATGAGAAGAAAGCTTTTTTTTTATTTTTTTTTTTTTACATGTTTGGACCTCATTCTCGTTGATTTATCTTGTTGTTTCTTTGAGACTTGAAAAGCTAGAATACATTCATATACAAGTATTTAGAGACCGGAAAAGCTAGCCTGCATACATACATGTATTTTTGCTTTATTTCTTGCCTTTGGTGACAAAAGCAGTATACATATGCCTGGCTGGTGCTGAAGCAGGGTTTAAAAATAGCCGGTGTTGTTAGCTTGTGCAACAGTGGACCAGGTGGACGTCTCTGTCGGCTTCCTCCTCGCTGAGAACTGACACCCTGGAATTTGCTTTTATCGGTTGGGGTCAATTAGCCGAAAGACTAGAGGCTCCAGTTCAAACTCACACACGTTTGTTTGACCTAATCTCCTCTGTCGGTTACTTCTACATGACTTCATTCATTTATAACTTCAATAGTCTATATATAATACTCCATTTTGGAAAGCTTCTATTTTTAATGTTGGTGTGGGTACAGACTAGGGTTTAATATTTTTCCCGAAAATGAGCCATATCAAATCCCGGGAAAAGACGACGCCGTAAGTAATGTATGATATCACTCAAATATATAATCCAACAAAAGCTGCCGTCTCCACTAGTGTTTCACCAAGCGACTTGCTAGCTTTTCTAAAGTAGCCATAGCGTTTTCAGACGTTTTGTTGATGGGCTTTCTTCAGGAATTTCACTATTATGAGATTCTAAATGTCTGCACAATCCACTTGTCGACCAGTGACGTGCGGTGTGGTTTGGAGGCACTGACTTCAGCCCAATCAGATGAACATATATCATATAAATCAACAGAACCTACAGAGCGGCTTATTCACAATTAGTTTGGCTACAGCAGAATGTTTTCCATGGCCCGCATTGTTTGCTCAAACAAAACGCAAAAGTTCGTAAAAGGCACATTTCCAATTGTGTTATGGGTCTTACCTTAGTTATTAATGAACAGCACAGACCACTTCAGTTCAGACCAGTTTCATGTTTAAGTCCAGATAATAGTTTGAGTGCAGATATGTAATCCCCCATTTGGAAATAAGCCCAAAGAGTTTTAAAGCGTAAAACAAAACGGGTGCCACCTCCATAAACTCCTCCGTGTGTTCGCTGCAGCCGGCTCTCGGGCGCATCCAATTTCTAATATCAACCTTCTTACCCTTCTCCTCTCTTCCTTATCATTCCTATCGTCACTGGAAGCAGAACATTACCCTAAATGCATTTTATATGATCTTAAAATGTGTTATATGTATGTTAGCCAAACCTGTTGCTGCCCTTAGCAGATGGAAAAAAAGAAAGGAGCTTTCTGATAGAATTGGACGTAGCCAAATTCTGGGCTCTCATGTGCCCCGTACCCTGAGGCTGGCCTCATTACAAGTCGTGGTTTAGCGCGATTAAGACCCATATTTGTTGTCAAAAACACAATTTATGAGCCATCCTCTCAGCTGTAGACATGTTGATTGTAAATGAAATATGTTTCAACTTTGAACAACAATAAACGTGCTCTATAATTGGAGCGCACTGGATTTTTTTTTTAACTTTAATTTCCCGGTTCCCGTCATAACATTTCCCGGGAATCGGGAAATAGTTTTGATCAGATTTCCCGGGAATCCCGTGTCTCGGGATTAAACCCTAGTACAGACCATAGAGTGTGTATTAGGAATTGACAGAGTGTGATGACGCCATAGTGTTAGCTTTTATTTGGAAGAGGGCAAACATAAGTATCGAGGAAAACAATTTCTCCCCTGTTTTAGTCCAGGTTCTTTCCGAGGTGTTCCGAAAGCATTTATTGTACATCATATACCAAGTTACTAATACAGGGTTAATACAGAGTCCAACAAAGTACTGCTAATACAAAGTATGCACTAACATACATCCCTAATGTGTATCACCTGTGTTTCTCTGTGTCTATAAGTACCTGTTTTCCTCTCCCCTTGATGCTGGTTCATTGTCAATGTCTCTGTTTGTCTACGTCCATGTCCATCTTAAAAGTATGTGACAGATGCTGCATGTTCTGTATTTCTACTGCGCTGTTATTTTCCCATTAAAGGAGTATTGTTCACAGTGTCTAAATGTAAGCATCTGTGTGCCTATTATCTTAACATAAGCTAACCAATTTCCTTAGATGGGCATAAGCTTTGCACCGTAATTACGGTTAATAACTTTCTTCGTAATTATTGCTAGATACTTTTAGAATTTAGAATGTATTTGTTTTTAGGTATAGATGTGTTTCTGCCGCACAACATCTACACTTCTCCTATGGGGATCAAAAAATTGTCTATTATCTATATATCTAATAAGGGCAGACATAATGCTAAGATGGCTGCTAATGCAAGCTAGCGAGTGTCCCCCGCCAATAAAGGAGGGTTAGCATTGTCCATCTGGTACAAACCCTGTGGTACTTCTTTGTCCAGTTGCTTATACGCAATCAAATCAATTCATTTTCACAATGCTAACCGGCTAGCTCAATGAAGCCCAATAGGGAAGCTCTCATGGACAAAGTTTTGCCGTTTGCTGTTTTGAGAGCGTGAATGTAACTAGTGACCTGGATGTATTACCTAGTTTTACTTGTTGCAGTTTGTAAATTAGGTCCCCCAGCTTTAATCCGGCTATTTTGACAGTATATTTGACAGTATATTCAGTATATTAAATGCGACAGCCGGTGAAGCAGCAGGTACACAAGCTGGCTTTGACTCGGAGCCAAAATGGCGTCCATCGCATTTGTTTTTGCTGACTTCCCAAATGTTTCACTTGGACGGTGGCTGTGTCCTGAGGAGAGAGATGGGGAGGAGAGAGAGGAGGAAAGGAGGAGAGAAGGGAGGAGAGGGGCAGGGAGTAGAGAGGAGAAAGGGGAAAAAACCAACCCAGGTCAGTTTCTATGGGAAAGCAATGGTTAAAAGCTTATATCTATCCATCCATGCATCCATTTTCTACCCCTTAATCCATTTCTGGGTAGGGGGGTGGCAGTCAGAGCGTCACCCTTTTCACAGAGCACCACCCCCTCACTGATCCTCCTGCAGGTGAGTCCTCCTGTGGACTCACCACCTGCTGGATCTTTCAGCGGGGGCTTCAGGCATAGCGGGGTTAAGTATCTTGCCCAAGGACACAACAATATCAGACATCGGTGGGAGTAGGTGGAGAAGCTCTCGTGGTTTCCATTCTCCAGGCTCAAAGGCCAATGCTCTGCCAACTGAGACACTCCAGCTTATAACTCATATTGCCTATTTTAAAGCCTCTGTAACCGATCTATTCTTTCATTTACAGATACGACTTTATAGAAATCCGAGACGGGACTTCAGAAAACGCAGACGTTCTGGGCCGACACTGCAGTAACATCGCACCTCCTCCTATCATCTCGTCCGGACCGGCTCTACAGATCCGCTTTGTGTCGGACTATGCTCACCAGGGGGCGGGCTTCTCTCTGCGCTACGAGATCTACAAAACCGGTAGAATATGAGATCATTACCGCTGTTTGAAAAATGTTAAATTTATCTACATTTGGTAACATTTATGGACAGTGGTCATCTGCTCCTTATGTACCAATGGCTCAATGCGTTTGTCATTGTTGCATTTCCTGTGTTTGATTTTCTGATCTGTTCTTGAAGTTGATTCTCTGATCTGTCCTCAGAGATAACTACTGTTATGATTTAGGGCTATATAAATATACATATTTCTGTCTTTGCACATGTTTTGTATCTGGTGACAAATCGTGTAAGAACTTTGTAACTTCACTAGAAAACCGAAAAAGAGAGGACCACTCTCACTCAGCCCAAATCGTCAGATAGTGACACGGCTTTTTCTTACACAAAAGATGACATGTTTTCTGACCGGATGAAGACAGGATGTTGTGGTCTGACTTGTTTACAACATTTGGCAATACAAAAAAACTTTCAGAAAAAGTATAAAAAACAGGAATGTAATAGATTTCAGAAGTGAATGTATGTTGCTTCTATCTTTTCCCATGTTGTGTACAAACCAAAGGAAGTGCCCACAAGCTGCCAATTTAAGCCGCATTCCAGTCGAGTTTTAAGGCGGATCTGACTGAACTATAAAAATGCAGTTTGTTTACGCGGAGCAGGCGCCGTTGCTGCGTGAATGGTGCTAGCGCGATAGCTTGACTGATCGCAAGTTTTCAGGCCATTAGCAAAGGCTGTAGGAAGTGGCCGACGCATTGACTCCCACGGCTGTTCACGAAGGAGGCCTGTTTGGATTCGACTAGTAAAGTTTGGCTGCTGTGAAGTGATATTTGTCTGTGTTTTTGGAAATTGTTATCTCGTAGTCAAGATATTAAAGAGCGACTAAACACCAAATCAACTTTTTTTAACTCATAAACTGCATAAGTATGTTTATTGTAGTGCTGTCTACATATCCTGGTCATTTTTTTGACATTTTAGTTCAAATTAGATAAAATATCACTTTTGAGCCAAAAAACGCTGTGTGGTGCCCTCTCAACCTTTTTGGTTGTACTACATTTGAATTTGGTTCTGGCCTCTCCATTGACTCTGAAGTTCTCTATGACATCAGTTGTTTTGTGTGACGTCAGTCTGTCAGAGCCAGTGATGTGAACCCATCCAACTCTCACACACGCCCCAGCTGCAGTTTGGAGTATTCTGGCGCCATCTAGTGGATTAAAATTAAATTACATGAGTGATTCTGAGATTATTGAGTGTGATTAGGTTCAGGTGTGTAGCTTTACAATGATCTTAGTGTGTAAACAAGGGTGGAATGAGACTTTCTGGTCTGTAACTATTGCTTTAAGCAGCAATGACAACTGTCTGTTTTTTTTTGTGTGACAAGTGAGCTGTCAATCACAGCCCAGACCACGCCCAACTCTAAGCCCCCCTTCTTGTCCCTTAGTCCTCCAGGCAACGCCCTTTTTAGAGAACATTTTCAAATCTTCATGTGGGCGGAGTAAGGCTGGGCACAGGTGTTTAGTCGCTCTTTAAACTGAATACTTGATTTTTCCTTTCTTTCTTTTTTACAATGATAAAGTTGATTTTGATGGCTTGGTTAGCCAGTTAGCAACTTATCATGTTAGCAATTGTAACTAGGACTGTATACTTAGTAATTAAACATTATTTGAAAACAAAGCCAACTTATTGCTTTCATCAGTAAATCTAAACTCTTTCAAAATGTACTTGGCCTGGCCTTCTTTGAGTGTGGAGTCAAATCTGTAATAAAACAGTCATCACACTTTTTGTTGTGTAACATATTTCACTGCAAAAAAGACAATATGTGTAATTTATGTCTGCTGTGATGTACGAAGCCCTGCTGTGGCCAAAAGGGACAAAATCAAGCAGAGATTTATGGCTGCGTGAGTAAAGTGAACGCTATTTTTCTCAAGGCTGAATCGGGATGAGTTCACTTTGCAGCTGGGGGCCATATTTGTTTTAGACAGGGCTGGAGTTAGCAATAGCATTAGCCTTGAGTCACATAGCAATAGCCATGAGCCACAGAGCTGCTTTTGTTAAGTCTATATGATAAGTTTTTGGTCTTTACACTTCTTTCCTTTCATTTAGTAAATATTTCTATATTTCTATGATTTCATATCAAAGCTGGGGTACCTACACAGAAAAAGAGTCTTGGAAAAGTAAAATTTTGTGAACAAATCTCTTGATATGTTATCTTTCGTACTTGTTGAGCCCTGTGAGTCACTATTTGACTTCTTAGGCTGAGAGCTGATTGGCTTATGAGGGTGTTTCTCTCTTTATATGTCTGAAAAAATCTGATCTAAAGAAAATGCATGAAAACTATATAGACGCAAACTGTTTGAGAGCAAGGGACAAGTTATATAGATTTTATAACATAGATTTATTGTGGTTTAAATGTTGCGTACCCCAGCTTTAATATTGTTCTGATCTGTCAAAAACACAATACGATGACTGAAGTAATCGTAGGTGAAGGTGGAATAGTCTTTTGCAGTGTTATTTTCTGTGAGTTTTATGGGGCAGTTGGAGTTAGCCGGCGGCGGCGCTAGCATTAGCCTTGAGCTAGTCCACCGGATTTATGTTTATGGACCTCGGCGACTGATTGTCCCTGAAACTGTGGCAATTTCTCACTCTGGTGCTTCAGAAGGCAATCATACACACACAGAGAGAGATACACACAGACAGACAGATACACACACTTAGATATATACACATTCATACATACATACACCCGCAAGCGCATGCTCTCATTCATACACACAGATACACAAACACAGACAGATACACACACTTAGACATATACACACTCACACAGACACCCACAACTCTCATGCTCTCATTCATACACACAGATACACGCACAAGTACACCAACGTACGTGCACACACACAAACAAATACAGTCCTAATATATACATGGCTTTCCCTGTGCTCTTAAATGCACCTGCTCTCCTTGTCTCAGTCAGTAGGCCCCATGCTAAACGCAGTAGAAATGGTTCAATCCAGTCACTACAAGTATTTTATTTATTCCATTTGGCCTTGTTTTCTGCTCATAATTCACTTAAACTGTATTTAGTTTGTCACATATTTTGATTGGAAAACGGACATTTCCAAGTTTTCGCCGATGTCTTGGCTCTCTGACGGCCATGTTGGAGCGGTCTTTAGATGGAAGCAGGCTGCTTGGTTCCAACAAGAGCTTTTTATAACCGGATTTTTTTCAGAGAATGTGTCAAATGTGGAAGTGTGGGTGTGCTCTGCTGCAGCTTGTCGGTAGATTTGCTCCGTACACGACTGTGTGTGTGTGCGCGTGTGTGTGTGGGAGGAAAGCAGCACTGTAGAAATATATATGATAATGAATGCGTCACACGTCAAAGTCTCAAATCTGTAGCTGAAATTATTTATCTTGAGTCTTGTCTTGTCAAATGTCTATTAGACTGCCTGTAGTGATAAAGGTCCCTCTCAAAAGTATGTGTGTATAAATTAACTTGTGCTAAGGCTAAAATCAGTATATTTTGAGATTCTTTTGAACAAATAGAAATGGTCTTAGCTTGTGTTCATGTGACATCACAATGTTCCAAAGAGCCTATAGTTTAAAATTGTGGAGGAGAACAGATGAAAAAGTGTCAAAAGTCAGTTACAAGTTACAATACAGTATGTGGTCTCGTTGTTGTCTCTCTCTGGTCTCTCTGGTCTTTCTCTGGTCTCTTTCTGGTCTCTCTCTCTCTCTAGTCTTTCTCTCTAGTCTTTCTCTCTCCAGTTTGTGCTATATTTTCATAGTTTGTATGCAAATGAACGCATGTATGGATAAGAAGAGTGTATATGTTGTGTGTGGGCTGAGCCTCTCATCACCACTTCACCCTCTGCTCACAAACGTCTTCAAAAATCAAATAAACAACAGTTGTTTTTACAGTGAAGCCTATTTAAAACCTCTGCCATGTCCTGAGGCAAAAATCTGGCAATGCTGACGGGAAAAGGAAGCATTTGGATTCAAAATATTGCAATAAATAATTCCAAAACGTTAGCGCTGAACAAGGAGACAAAACGTTGCCTTGAGAACGTTTTGAGCTATTCCGAAATGCACACGCTGTTTGGGGAGAACTTTTTTCTTTTTACTACCGCAACTTGGTCCTAAATTGGGTTTTTCAAAGTTTTTCAAAACATATAACATTCCTGCTTTTGATAACACATTTTTGCTTATTCTTTATAATTGTGTGATGTATTCAGACTATGTGAGAAATGCATGTTAATCTGGCCTCTTTGTGTATTAAACCACACAATTTGTGTATACAACCACACAACATTCATTTGATCACTCTATTTTGTCTTTTAATCAGTTGATTTTATATGTAGCATTTCCACATGACCAGCTGCTGTTGTTGTTATTTTAAATGAGAACACCCCAGAGGTTTTCTATTACGTGTGTATGTATTTGTGTGTTTGGAAAGGGCGAGTCCCCATTCTGATACAGATCTCTGCACACCGCTACAACCTCCTCCCTCCAACAGCGAAAGTTATCACGTTTCTAAGTCACAACCATAAACATAGACACATTTGTAATAATTTTGAGACTTAACCATTATTAATTATAGTGACTTTTGCACTTTCTGTTCTTGAATGTGAATTACTGAGTCTGCAATTTTAGTCACTGTCTAACCGAGGTCGTAAATCGCAAAAGAACCACACAAGCACTGTCAAAATGTGTATGTCTTTTTCATATTTGAAGGTAGCATAGACTGTACATAGATGGATCTAACATCACAGATGGAAAGCCACAGGACTTAGGCTGTAGATCCAGGACTGTAGATCCAGGACTGAGGCTGTAGATCCAGAACTGAGGCTGTAGATCCAGGATGTTTTCTGTCCTTGAGGTCAAAATCTGAAATAATATATTGCATTCTGTGTGTGTACAATTACTACTATTTATAAATACATCCAGGTGTACTATACATTTATTAACATGACCCATGACACATAGGAGCCATGACAAATGTTCGAACTGTTTCTTTGATCTGATGTTTG